ATTCATGAAATGCTGATTCGTGCTTTTGCTTTCAAAAGATGAATTTAATTCGTGAAATGCTGACATTTGTAAGTAATTTACTGGCTTTCATTATGATTTTCCAACTGTAATGAAAACAGGAAGTACAGAAAATGCACCCTGCCACCCCCGTGCTTAATAATGGAGCAAGCCTGGGAAAAGTGCACTTGAACCAGCCGCTCAATCAATCAATCCTGAAGCAAAGCCTCAACCCCCCCTCTTTTTTTTTTTTTTAGAATTTAGGCTTAGGCCATTAAAAAATTATGCTTTGGTTACTCAGTCGCATCAAGTCTTGAATCACAAAGAAGGCCTTTTTTTCTGTCTCTCTTTCTCCCCGTCTTGGGGGTTTCTCAAGGATTCACTGTACTGGGACAGAAATGCCAATGACTAATGCAGTCACACAAATGAGCTAGCCTAAGACATGTATGTGATGCCATTTAACAGATACATTTTTCAAAGGAAAAATTAGTGTCTCCATAGGTTATCTGGATATGTCAGATGATCTTTTGTTTGAAGTTGATGCCCAGCGAGGTTCACTCAGGATCTGAGTTTTGAAAAGAGGGATGAATGGGTCGCATCTATCACAAAAATTGGTAATTGGAAAGTGTGCCTGTTTGTTCTTTTTGCCAAGTGTCTTTAAGGTTGATGTGAGGGAGGTTATCAGGGAAGATATTGACAGGTGATTTGGTGATTTGATTGAATTGTTGATTTGCTCATGACAAGATCTCAAAACGTTAAAACTTATTGCCAAGTTACACACCAGTGAAGTTTTTAAATTGAACTCTTTCTAAAAATTATTATTGGTGTAAATAGACATAAGGGCCTCAAAATCATTAACAGGCTTGCTGCGGTCTGGAAAAGTCATGAAATTTTTCAAACACTGGGTCTGATTTCTGTCATCAGAAATAGATGTATAAAATAATGCATAAAATACTCCAAGAAATTGCGTTATTAGGTCATGGATTTTCATAATTTGGTTGTGCAAACATTGTGGAAAAGTCATGGAAATTAATTGGCCTTTAGGAGCATGAACCCTGATCAACTTTTTCACTCCCTTGGATTTTGCAAAACATCAAAATAATATATGATAGCTTGTTAGACTGTGAAATTGTTTACCGTACAGTGTGGATGAGTGCAGCTGTCATATTCAGGTTGAAATAAACATGTAGAACTGGAATTTCTTTTCACATTCGGGGTTTGTTGTGGATTGAAGTGAACGTCCTTTTTAATAACAACCATGATAGATGTAAGCATTCTGTTTTATTGGTGATGCATATTGAACGACAGCGCCGGCAGCTTGAGAATTGTTTGATGCAAGTAAAATTTGCAGATGCATGCGACAAAGAAAGGTCCCGCAAACTCACAAAGTGCAATTGCCATTTTTTGGTAAAGTTGCTGTCTTTGGTGAAGCGTTTCTGCTTTTGAGGTAGAGTTTTTTAGTGATAGAACTTAAGAAGCGGAAAGCAACAACAAACGGGCATGACTGAACATTTATAACTTGGACCTTAACATGAACTGTGTTTTAAAAAGTCATCATGTGCACTTGGTAGTTATCAGAGAAGAGTAATACCTGGTTTCAGACAATGGCCTGTGTGAAAATTAGAAATCTGATGGTTTAAGGTTCAGAGCAGGAGGGAATAGCCACAGCAGAGTATGTGTCTGACAAAAGAAGAAACAAGATCAGTTTCAATGGAAGAACAAAATGTACATTAATGGGAAAAAGAGAGGTGCTAATTTAGAATTTGTTTACACGGAGTACATTACTTTCAAATTGTGCCAGGATTCAGTTAGTGACTAAGTTATATGAAATTGAGAAACAGGAATTGGACACAAGTGAATAATGAAAGACCCAGTAAATCTCTTTTTGAAAAAAAAAATTGACCAGAAAGAGAAGTACACAGCTTCTCTCGCATGTACTAGTACGTGCGAGACGTTGATGTTTTACTCGTAGGGGAGGGGCCAAAAAATGTGACTTCTGAGAGATGTACTGTAAAACACACAGGTATGGCATCTGAAAATCTGAGATTGGGACAACCTTACCTTGAGGCTGTTGAGTCAAAAATGAATAGTTGCTTCTTTGTCATGGTTTTGTGGAAACAGTTCACATGCATGTGCATGTCAGTTGAAATGGCATTTTTTTACCTCCACAGGAATAACCTTGAGATATGAACAGTAGGCATGCCCTCATGAACACAGGTTTATTTGTACACCCTGCATATGTTCAAACACTTGAAGTAGCCAAACTTAATCAGGTAGATGTAGAATGCAGACTAGGTACGGGTACATGTACCTTCCAGGATGCCGTCTACTTTCAGACCAACGGGGGCTGTTGCTAGATTTTTACTAAAATGTCGCAAAGAGCATGATATCGATGTTGGAGATCCTGATGATGCTGGGATAGAGGACCTTCATGCACTGTATGTATGACATTTTAGTAATTGAATTTGTGAACAATTTGTTAATTCATTTGGATAATTAGGGGAAGATGACTAATTTAATCATGAACATCCTACCCTTGGAATGGTTCGGTATGTATAAATGTAGAATGTTTGTGCAGAGCATTAATGCTGAGAATGCCATTGCTTTGTGAATGCCGTCAATTTGACTGCAGCAGTATCCAAGATGGGAAACGAGTCACGAGCAATGTAACTTTCATGAAGGCGGTATTGTAGCTGGAAACCAGTCTCTTTTGTAGAAGTGGAACATTTGCTAAACATCTGCCAGCAAAACATTTATCCATTTTAAATTCTTTTTTATCTTTGTTGTTTGATTCTTTTTGTAGCTTTGTTGTTTGACACTAAATGCCTGCAAACAAATTAGAATATTTTGAAGAAGACTTGAGAAATAGAGATTTTGTTTTCTTTCTTGTTGAAGTGTGCTTGTCGTAGTTCATGTAAAGACTTCACAGGATGAGACTTGCTGAAAGAAATGCAATGCATGAGGAAGCAGAAGTCTCTATATATACCAAATAATATCTTCGATGGCGTCCGAATTACTTGGCTATAGCTTGAAATTACACATGACTCTATGAGAACTGGCTTCAACCACTACCAACTATCAAGTAATTCGGACATGGCCTCTTTCTTGAGTAAGCTATTTTTTAAAATTGTGTTCCCCGAATCAAATATGACATCATAAACTTGAATGGGATGGTGCCAGACTGTCCCTTGATCAGAGTGCATACCAGTGGGATTGATCAGCACGAAATACGTACGTATGTACGGGTAGGGGCCTATGTGTCAAACAATCATCACAATGATGGCAATTTGACAAGAGCAGCAGATCAGGACTGTTTCGGATTTGAAGGTTTGTAGCGAGTAAATCCAAATACCTAACTTTGTCATCCTAACATAGTGACGCTGACGCACTTCAATGTTCGCCAGACTTTCCTCAGACAGTGTTACCACCAAAAAAAAATTCAAATTCATTTAGATAAATGCAAGTTCTGTAACCTATATGCTGCTGTTGAACCTTTGTAAACAATTTCAAAGTCATAAAAATTTGTCTAAAATTCAAAACTGGCGGCATCTGGAAATTTGGCAAGAATTCAGCTGAGTAATCACTAATGTGGTGCTCTTGAAAAGCCTCAGAAAATCCCACATAAACATTTAAGAAGTTCTTTAAAGTTGATAAATTCTAATCAATTGTTTTTACCTCCACATACATGTACATGTACGTACCTAACCACAAGGTTGTTAAAAAATAACTTTTTTGTAGTTTTGGGGCACATTTTAAAAGAAAATCGGTCCAAACTTTTTAGCGTTTGAGTAAAATTGCCAGGACTTTGTTGAATACACCACTTTTTTCATAAGCAGCTGTATTTTTGCATCCAAAAATTTCCCAAATTTTAAGGGAGCACACCGTGTAGGGTAAATTTTTTTTCCCCGTTTTCGAGCTTAAACTAATAATGCAAGAATAGAATATCCCAAAGGGATTTTTTTGCAAGTTTTTATACCCGTCACAAGATTTCGCCACATTGCGTGAAGATCATCAGTGTGTTTGAAAGGAATGCGATGGGTTCTATTTTGTTCATGGATTAAAATCATGTAGTGTCTTGTTCTTCATCTCCTTGTTATATACGTGTACCTCCGGAATCATAAAAAATCCCAACCGTTTTGTTGTTGTTGTTGTTGTCTAGAGCTATTGAATTATTTACAGAGACTTAATTGGTTGCTGCAGAGTGCTAGATTTAGCATATTCTTGGTTCTTACCTTTTCAAATGAGTCCATAGTATTAAAGATTAGGAAAAAGTTGGAGATTTAGATCTCCATGAAAAGAAATGACAGTGTTTGTGAAAATGTAGTGTCTAACTCACTGAATATAGATAAGAGATGAAAACCATGGTACATCATTTTTTCAGACCTGTATGTCATTGGAGATCACGGCTTGTACATCGGTAAATTTGTTTGTACATCTTTGCTGTATATTACAAAATAGAAATATACTCGAGGATAATTTGTGCACAGTTGGGGGTACGCTCTGGCAAAATAGCTCTCTTTGTTCGAGGTGAAAAATTGTCACTTTGAATGAGTGTAACCGACAAGTAAAAACCATATTGCAAATAAGTAGAAATCACTCAGCGGAAAGATCTTTCACGTAGCATTCAGTATTCATTGTGCCTCACTGTCTCACAGAGTTGGGTCAATTTAACTGTTGGGACAATATTTTGTACCCTTTGATAGCCATGACCCAGGGGCAAATTTGGAAACTATTTCCTCTCTGCGTTTTCTTCAAAAGAAAAAAGTTTGGGAGGAGGGGAATAAAAGGAGGCTATATCACTGAACTTCATATTCCAACATGTCAGGTTCTGAGTCAGCCCCCTCAGCCTAACCACTATATACATTTATATGCAAATGAGTCCTTCTGGCCCCTGGCCACGATTGGTTGCAGCCGGTTGCAGCTGACCTGATCGCGACCCCCGGAGTCAGGATCCCGAAGCTGCGTGTGGTATTAATTCTGTGTATGTGGTGTGTGTCACTGTGTTGAGCATGTATAAGCTGAGGGACTTTATTTTTGACATAATAGTACCAGTGCATTGGGGGATAATATTGGTGTGCTGTGTGGTGAGCCAGCAGAGGAGCTGCACTACTAGTACTAGTGAACTGGACTGGACCCTGCAGTGTTGGGAAGCAAAAAACCCCTGTGGTGATTGGTGGTTAGGAGCTCTGATCATCCAAGGACAGGAAAGGTTTTTATCCACTTTAGGAGGGAGGTGAAAAGGCCCCCTCCCCCCTGGAGCCCTGCCTGTGTGACATCATCGTCTTGAGGTACACCTGTAATTCCTGTGGTGTTGTGGTGGGCGGCCAGGCTAGTGTTGCCCAAGTCCACTTCAAAATCTCAGTGACCCTAGCTCCGTCTTCGGTGCTTTCCCCCAGCATCTTGCCAGCAGGCAGCACTCACTGTGCATGGTGTGCCGTGCAACCAGCCAGCAGTTGTTCAGACTCTGTGAAGCCCCCTCGGTGTACCCAGGTTTTTCCCTGCTCCAGGATTGGACGGTGTAAAAGGGGCTGGCGTCACCCCCATCCCCCTCAACCACCAATCAGCCATCACACTGTGTGTTTGCTCCAACCAAACATGACATCTCTCCCTTCCAGAGGAGTCATAATTTGACCTTGGCCTTGACCTACTGACACACCTTAGCAGGGGTCTGAGGTTCTCAGGAGCCAGGCAGTTGGTAAGTCTGTTAAAATTGCACAAACTTGACAGCGGGCCGAGGCAGGTCACCACATCCATTCCATTCTCCATTCGCCACATCATTTGCCACTGGGGAAGCCAGCTTGTCGGTTGAGCCGGCTCACCCGTTTTTCTTGCTGCTCTCTCTGACCGCCAGCAGTACTGAACTTGTTTTGCATTTCAAGTCACTTTTTTCTCCTCGTGCTCCCATCCCACTCTCGAAATGTAGTCTGCATTTGTGCATAGCCACATTCATTTGCCGTCACAACTTCAGACAAGTGCCTCCGTGAAGCTTGTATAGTTGAGAGCAAGTCACCTTCCTCTCATCCGTAAAAAGAAAGATTGCATGCAGGTCACAGCATTCTCACGATTAAATCTCCAGAAAACCTGCACCGACGAGACTGGACTTTATTCGGGTGATTCAGCTACCCAATGATACATTCAGAGTCATCCAAGAAATTGGATACTTCATGCTGCCCATGCTATATCACTCTCAGCAGAATTTAAAGAAGCAATGCACAGTTTCTTGTGGTCGGTGAAGAAGCTGATCATTTTATTTTGAAAAAAAGAAGCATTTGCTTGCTTTTGATGTGTACAGTTGTACTGAATACCACTGTGTCTGACTTGGAAGTAGGAAGAGCAGGCAAGAAATTGTACCCAACGCCACAGATTTCGTGACTGAGGCCATGTTTGCTGCCTGAACCAGATACCTTCCCCCTGGAGCACCAGCTAATTATCTCTGGAGGAGGCCTCTTCTTGAACGATTACCTCGATTGCCCCCGAGCCAAAGACGCATTACAGAGCACCTGGGCATTGTTCAGGACAGGCCCTTGTGGACCGACTGCATACTGTGGCCATTTTGGAGTTTTTTTCCTTCCTCTGTCTCTTTGTTCATTTTTGTTTGACGGGTGCTTGAGAGATAGGTTAGGAGACGACAGAAAAGAAGCTCAACGCTAAGTGGGAAAAAAAACGAAAGAAAAGAAATATGACAGCAGGTCTCGGCGTGGAGCTTGCGTCATCGACTGGGAGTCCTGCTGTGGAGTGCTATGCATTAGCAGTCACCAGCAAACCAGGCAAATGATTAGAAACTGTGGAATATAGCAAACAAGAGCCTCTTCAAATGCAACTACAGGCCCATGTATTAGAATCACTGAGGTAGATTTATTGCTACATTTATTCCGATGTGAACAAGAAAGACCATTTTAGTTAAAAAACAGAAAGGCACCAGTTGTAATCTTGTGCTTCAAGCATGTGCGTTCCTCTCCGATTGATGATTAAAACTTGAATTTCGAAAGAGAAGCACCCTAGAAGAGACAATTTTGAAAATTTACAAGAGCTCTGACGACCGGAAGGACGTTCGTATTCAGAAGGGTCTGGACCAACTCGATTACTCTCACTTTGGTGGCATTTCTGCGAGGACCGATGCAACTCACCTGATCAGGGAGCCTGAGCTAAACATTACCGGTATGTTGGCCTCCACAGCCCTGACCCAACACATTAAAGGCCTGGCAATTGTTCACTCCAACGGGAAGGCCATCCCAGTCTCCATGGAGTATTCCATGCCAGCGTTTGTGCGCACTGGCGGGCCCGCGAGTGGGGCCAGCTCCAGCAGCGACGAGTATGGTCAGGACATGGACACCTCAGATCTGAGTGGTAAGTTGCTGTCAAAGACACATGCTCCTTGCTGGTACTACCGTAATGTGTGCCTGATTTGCAGTAGAGAAATTCTGGGGAAACAGTCACATGTACAGCGGTACATGTACATGTACATGTATTTTAGGCTTGCCTGTTTAATCATAAATTCCATCTCATTTGCTTGATTGATTGGTCCTCATGACATGTCTGGAGACGAGCATGCACATGACACTTGGATGGTACTTAAGATGAAGTGCTTTCAGAGGGCACACATAAGCGGGACTAATTTAAGATTGTGTGAAAACTGACAGCAGATAACCAAGAGGATTCCGCCTTGGTGCTTGCGCTGTACATGATTTGCCCTTCACCAATTCTCTATTCAGCCACCAATTCATCAACAGTCAATAAATCCCCCGCTGGCTGTCCAGTAATTAATTTCTTTCCCCACATCCCATGGACCCTCCATCAAACATGAAGGACACTACGTGTACCATCCCTTAATATACACTTTATGACAACAATCCCCCCTCGGGTCTACTGAGCAAGGAGGATTCAGGTAGGGGAGATAGAAATATCCATCATCCCTCAGCCTGGACTCCTTCTAATGTATTAAAAAAAAAATCTCCCCCCCCCCCGTCTCCGCCCCCACTAATCAAATGTGGATGACCTCATACGACCATTATTATGTTTTCATTCTCCGACCTTGAGTACACCCTCTGTTGAATATTATGCGGCACTGTACACAGTGTTCCACTTATGTAAATCACAACTCATGCCTCTCTTGCATTTCTTCTTTATTAGGAGAAAGATGAAAAAAAGGGGGAAAAAAAGCATTATAAGATATATTTATATAAGCGGTTCCTCCGTACGGGTAAATAGCTTAAGTGTTGTTCGCATAGTGCTGTTTTGTCCCCTTACAGTCTTCCGCCACTGTGAACGTGCATGGGGGCTGAGCTTGCGGATTACTTCCGCGCGACAGGCCTTGAATGAAAATTGGCCTTTTTGTTAGCTCTCCCTGATGTTGTTGGACAGAACTAGAATGCCATTGTGACCGCTGTTTGTGAGGGACTCTCCTTTTTTTTTGTTAAATTGAAAAGGGTGGAAAAAAAAAAAGGGAAAAAGTGGACGGGTTGGGACAAAGAAGGGGGTTTATAAAAACCCGGGTTTATCGTGTTACATGTAAACATGTTGGGCCTGTTGTGTGCGCTGCTTGGATAATGTTAACTTCCATGTGAGGCATTCGGCAGTGCACTATTTCCTCAGGGTTTTGACCCTTTTATTTGGTGAACATGCTCACATGTATGCCCAGTACACCCACACTTGAACTTGGACAAATAGTCGTGTTAAGATTTTTTTTTTGGTGGGGGGGTATGTACATGTGTGAACCAGGAACACAGGAAGAGCTGGAATATAGACTTTAACAAGAACATGAATTATCGTGTCATTGGCCCTTCTTTAAAAAATCAGTTTGAAAACAAGGAAAATGCAACTCTTTTTTTTTGTCAGTGATTTCAAAAACAAGTCTTTGTGTTGGATTTTAAAAATTGGAACCTCAGCATTTACCGCAGGTGAGAAAGAAAATTATGTCTTGATTTTCTGTTTACTTATTGTTATTGTGGTCAAGTTTTTCCTGATTTTTAGAATTTTTTCTTCAGAATTTACTTGATTTCAGGATTTTTCAAATAATTTCCTCTGAAAATCCTGAGTTTACCTTTGAAGTGTCTTTACATGTAAAAATTTACAGAGAAAACAAGAGAAATCTGTATTTTAAGGAGTGCCATGAAGGCAAATATAAACATATACCATAGATCCTACACTGCTGTGGGACCGTCAAACCCTCAGGGGATTGGATGAAAGTGAAATATCCATGAAACAATCTCACCCTCTGGTTTTGGTGTTATAAAATATCGTAACCAGTGCATTCAATTTAAGAGTTTGAATAAACATGTGCAGAAGAATGTACATGTATTTGTTCTTGCATTGACATTGTCGCCTATCGGGTCTTGGTATCAAATTGTATGTATTACTGTAGACATGTCTACCATGTGATTCACCAGAAAATTTACTCGGTAAACATTCAAAAATAGTCATAAAAAGAGTGAAGATTTTATCTTCCGAATTTGGAATTTGGTGACTGTGAGAGGTACTGTGTACATGTACAGTATGAAGCTTTCCATGTTAAATGATATGGTACAGTGTGACTGGATCTCACATCAGTCTCAAAGACCAGTTTCAGTGGCAGTTTGGCCTGATGGGAATCAACATCATGTAAGGGAAAAAGGTGGAAGGTGTCCCTTGAAAGTGTTTCAAAACTGGCTCTGAAGTCTTGTGACTTGTTCTGTTGGGTTAAAGATGTCTTCCATGCAAAGCTGGGGTTTTTTTTGGGGGGGGGTAATGTTTCTACTTGTGCCTTGCCAGGTTTCATTTTCAGAAAAAAATTTGTGTCAGTTGGGTTGCTCCGCAGACACTGGCTCACTCAAGCAAAGGCAGAAATAGAGAGATAAATGCCCTGAGAACTAACCCTGCTTGGACAAATTACAATCGGCCTGTGTTGTAATAACATAAGTTCTGCCTGTTTGCTCCAGAAACTCACACGTAAATTTTGCTCTTGTCAGGAGCACATCTTGATGTCCTCTATCTCCATTCTTTTCTTCTTTCTTCTTATTTCCCCCGCATCCACGCTCACAGCGGAGGGTGCAGGCAATAATAATATTATCGGGCTGTGACATCAATGTTTGTCCCAAGCCGGCCGGGTCCTGACTGAGGCCGCGCTTGATCGGCGTGCCATGAAAGCCTCGGACGGGGCCAAACTGAAGCCATTATCGGGTTGAATGCAATGCGCCTGAGTTCATTCGACAAAATGCCGCTGATTTAATAATGCCAATCAAATCAGTGAACTGTTTTCTCTTCCATGGCCAGCGATGGTGCTTGTCTCACACCACCACCCCCCCCATCCATGATGTTCGGTCAGCTGCATTTGCTTCCACCCATTACTTCATGTTCTCTAAATTTTCATTCATCGTCACACCCCTGTGTTCATCATCTTGTCATCCATCTTTGCTCCCACTCATTTTTCACATGCAAGTCATTCATTTAATCTTTGTCCCCCCCACAGTAAGGTTATTGATGTACACATGTATTTTAGTCAGAGAAATTGTATTCAAACTTTGAAAATAATTATGCTCATTACTGAAATGTCAAAGCTTAGTATTTATAACTAGATTGCGCAACTCAAAACCTGTGTCTGCTGCTGCAATCCGTGCCTTGACTGAGAGTAAAATACAAAATGAAGTAAAACACGCAAAACAACATTGAACTCTACAAATTGTGTTTAATTGAATATTTACGTGCTGTACCAGAATTTGATGCCACATTTCGCTATGAAATATATTAATAACCCATAACTAAAAATTCACATCTCAAGTGATGAAGCTTACAAAATTCATGTAGATAAGCAGACAAACGGATCTCCCTGAGGTCGCTCCGCATTTGTTAAGTTTGTGATGACAGGTACATGTATTTGTGATTATTGGCGCCTTCTAGAAAACTTGAATTTCAGGCTCTGTTACCCTCCATCACTTGTGATACAGGCATTGCGGCCAGCGCCCTTGTCGCTATCGATGTGTGTGTGTGCTGAGTGGTGCTGCATTAAGATCCATTCACAAATTGTGTTTCGTGGAATAAATTTACGCTGCCAGCACCTGCCCTGGTGCCTCAGTGTACCTCAAAGGGGGAAAAAAAAGAGGGGATTGGGATAATAAAGAGGGAAGAAATGCGGCTTATTTTTTCTTGTATTGAGGTCATTGTTCAAGGCGGGCCAAGCCCATTGAAAGGACATTGGGCAAGGCTGTACACTTCAACCAGAATACAAAGACCATTAATCTTAAGGTGCTCCCTGTGATTGGTAAACGGACAACCGTCATGTGCATGTAGGTACATGTGTGTGTACCAATACACTGGTACATTGTCATCAAGAATAAAGTGTTTAAAAATATCGACTGGTTTTACTCTCATTTACAGAGGTGGAATTTAGTTTTTTCCTTAAATACCACTGGTTTAGTCCACTCCAGAAAGGAACTGTCTTAAAATATTGCCTAATCAGTTATAAAGTTGACTATCCGTGTAAACTTGGGATTTTGAAATACATGTAATGTACATGCATACTTACGTATACACGTGTACGTGTATGCGTGCCTTAATTTTCTTCTGTTTTGGGGCCATCATTCAGTTTTTATTCACAGATTCTTCTCCCTTATTCAAAGTAATAATTTTTGATGCACCGAGTAATCAACTTGTTTATTGTCAAGCCGAGGATTTTAAAATGCTGGTGAAAAAAAATCCTGCATTTTCTGTACATTTGCATTGATCGCAGTCCCAAGATTGGGAAATTCAATTTCCATGGAGATTACAGCCCAATTTTCACAACAGCCCGATCCTGAAAATATGTATGTAATTCACGGATGCCAACTGCCCATAATCCATTCCATTATTCATTGCCAAGTCGTTGTAGGATGTTTGTTTCATAATAATGTGTCACCTGCTCTAACTTCACACAAAATATGATGGTCTGAACCTTTTGTCATTTGATCCCAAAAAATAAATACAAGGTTTTACCTGTACGTGCCCGTGAATAAGAAGTAACTGTTTGAAATTATGAAAGCCTTTGGGTTGATTGGGCTTGACTTTAGATTTCCTCGAAATGAGTTTAGCAATCAGGTTTAGCAATGGGAGGAAATTTCAGAGGGTAATCCTCAAATCAAAATTTAAATATCTGCATTTTGTTTGTGGGAAAAAAGGCCCCTAAATGGCACATGAAACAGATACATGAGCATCAAAAATATTGAGCCATGTGATACATGTTGTTGTCACAATATATTTTAGATTTTTAAAATTCAGTTTGATGAAATTTTGTTCTGTCAGTTGGCCAGTGAAGCACTGAAAAGTATGTCACACATTGTAAACAGCTTAGTTCATATTTGGGCCGTTGATCGCTTGGCCCTGTGACAGTGAGTTACTCG